GAACTAAGATAAAAAAAAACATGTTGTGCTGACAGTTTATACAGTTTTGACATATTCTCACAATTACATGTTCTCTAGCTAGTTGGAATAACTGAATTTTGAAAAATATACAGAAACACACTAAATAATTGTGTGCTTTCCTTACAGGCTACATGATGTGCGGTTTTCCATTGCTGACTTTTTCATTTCTCCTTTGGTACTGTTAACATAAAAAGGCCTGAATCCTTGTCTCCGTTACCAAGCACAGATCATGTAGCCTGGAAAAAAAAAACCCAAAACAAAAAAAAAAAAAACAAGAGAAGCAGTGTCATTTCTGCACAACCTAAAAGCTCTACCTGATAGATCATCTCTCAAAGAACTTACAAGCTGACAATATAGAATGATCTACAGGATTTCACCTGACTGCCAAAGCATGAAATAAAATGCACAAATGAGCTCACTGTGGCCAGATGAATTGCAGGCTTCTTAGAAAACCTATTTATCACAACGTCCTACTCCAGTGTTTGCTCAAGGTATGTTTTTTGGTCATCTGATCTACCGCACTAAGTGCTCAGACTCTGCCTTTCACTTTGATATTGGAGCACTCCACACACATCCTGCTGCAGCAGCAGCACTTGGGAGGCCTGGGAAACGCTCAGCTTTGAGGTGAACGAAGAAATAGAGATAAGAGCTTGCACATTGGAAGGAGGGGGAAAGAACTGGCAAACCCAGCTATTCTGCCAGCATTTGAACTTGCCGAAGCATTTTTGATGAAAAGATTTCAGCAAAGTATGTTATTTTGTTAAAGATAATGTGTCTCAGCGAAACATAATTTTTGACACAGCCTTGAGCAGGAAGGACACACGCATGCCTTTCAGATGTGGTCCCTTGCTCGGTCAGAATAACAAGAAACGAAAAACTTCCCTGAATCAGAGCAGTAAGCTGAATCTCCAGCAGCATTGCCCATTGCTCTAACAAGCAGGCAGGTAAGCCTGTTCACAGACATTTACAGAACACGCCTTTTGGGTGAACCCTTTCAAAAGGTTTTGCTTTTGTTCCAAAAAAAATAAAATTTAATCCTTATCTAAACTACAGTACTTAAGTCACCATCCTCTGTCAGCCAGAGCTTTATTAATACAGAAGCTGCATTTGCATTTACTTCCAAGGGGTACTGTGGGAGCTGTCTGTCAGGACAAGTTAAAGCACAGTGATCGCAGATGCATATGGCTGGGACAGTAACAAGGATGGGTTTTGCCTGAACGATGAAGACTTCAAGCCCAGAATCAGGTTTAGTAGTTGTTAAAACAAACTTGTGCTGAGAAGTACTGTAGCTGTTACTGGAAAACCAAGAGAGGAGGGTGTGACATTTTTTGCTTTAAAATAATAAATATGACAGTTGGTACATTTTTGCATCACAGAGGATATTTTGTAGGCAATTTAAAAAATCCACAACAATTTTAAAACTGCACAATAAAGTTTTATAAGACACAGCTGAGGAACTTCAGCTTTGTACATTATTTAATTCAAACGTACAATAAGAGAAAAATAATGGGAATGTAAGTTTGTACTTATTTCCAGAAAATAGATTCATTTGACAAACAATGTTCCAAGAGTAAATAAACCTTGTAATGCAATTACTTCAGAACACATGCACATCAAGCTACTGCAGTCCTCTAAATTGTACTTTAGCCGTCAACAGCCAATTCATCTGCTCTGTAGCCAGGACACTTCATTTACAACATGTGTAACAGCACACAGATGGTAAGATGCACAAAGCAATGTACGTAAGATAAAATGTTACAAAACACTTGTCAAAATAAAATATATATGCAAGTCATCCCTAGTATTTACAACAAATAGTTTTAAATTAGAGCGCAGTCAGAAGGCATCTCCTACATACAAATGCCACACATAGAGAAAAAAAGCAGAAAGGCAGTCAAAGAAAGGTACTGTGTTAGTTATGGCTAAAGACCTTTGGCTCCAAAACTCTGTTATAATTATTTTCAAAAGACAACTAAAAAGTGGAACATTTGAGTAGTCTGTCTTTGAACTCCGTTATTACACTGACCACTAAAACTCAATGTGAAATTTAGCATGGCAAGAGCCACTTGTAAAACAATCTTATTATTTTATACATCAAATGCTCTGAGTTAGATGCAATTATGGTTTGGCATTTTCCTAACTCAGTGGGAACACATTTGAGGACAACTATATTTTACTGCATCTCATGCATAAAGTCTGAGGTTATCTGCTCAGCAGGCCATCAGGAAGGCTCTGGCTGTGCTTTATCTAAACGAGGCACAAATGTGCTTAGTAGTTGCCCTAGAACTTGCATGCCCTAGAGACATGCAAAAGTGAGAGGAAAAGAACAGATGTTGCCGTCACACCTTTCTGATCATATATAAGTTTTGTTACCAGAAGGAGGATCAGGGCAAGAGTTGCTAGAGTGCAAACTTTCACACTTTAGTTGCAACTCTTTTTCCCACAGACTCTAAATCAGGCTGAACCCCAAGTAAGTATTTGTCTTAATTGTTGGATAATGTAATTGTTTGTTTCCATTTAACTATAATTTGTTTAAAAGATTATGGTGTAGTCCAAATTTGGCCTGTCTTGTTATATTTTATCTTAATCTGTTGCAAGGTCAGATTGCAAAGAAAGACACAGAGAATATTATAAAACAACCATGTCTATATGTAGGGTACTATACGTAAAACTGTCCTGAGTAATCTGCACCATGAAACATTTGCTTTTTATCTCTCTGAAATTCACTTCTTGAGAAAAAAACTGCTGCATTCAAAACCATATGCAAACATTTCTGTCCATTTTTAGGGCTAAGGCACCAGCACTACTATGTGGGAAAAGCCTTCACGCGTACTGACATGTCAGGAAGATACATCCCAAAACCTCCTTTTTTTTCCAGCACTCTACAGAACTGAGCCCTGGAAGGAAGTAGGTTTTAGCAAAGACACATATGCAATTAAGTGTGGATCTCATAATGTCTTCAGGTCCAGCTGGGAAAGTTTCCGGGTGAGCACTGCAATCCAACTTCAGACATTTTTTTTGCATCTAGAACAAGTCTTTCAAAATGTGATTATGAAAAAACATTGTCTCCACTTCCACAGTATGTGCATTACTTTGGTTTGCAGGCCTGAACATGGCAAGTACCCACAAAAATGGGTATGTAATAAACACAAAAGCATTACTCATTTAAGGGGAAGGGCATGCATCCATGCCTGCATTTGGAAGTCTGCTCCTTGTGTTTAAATAGAGCATTTAGAATTATCTTTTTAAAAATCTGAATAGAAATGGCTTGTTTTAAACATCAAAAGAAAAATATAACCCAGCCAGCTTTTTTCACTAACTTTTCTGTGCATTTTCTTTAAGCTGGATCATTGAAAATGTCAGTGCATATTTCCAGTTCTTAACTGTTTCAGGTCATCTTTCATTGCTATGGGAAAGCACAAGCAATGAAGTTCACTGCACTGAACAATTCAGCTGAGCATCACCAGACTTTGCATTATTGCTGAACTATATACACAAGGCATTTGAAATGTACAGTTGTCAAAAGATGTCATTTAAAATCAAAACCACAAACCTGGGCTTTGCAGAAGTTGCCACAAAATTATCAAGTCACAAAATCTAGCGACTAGTGGGCATCACAACACTGACGATAAACAAAAATATAGAGGTAACAGTAGTAGGAACAAATACATGTTTAAAATAAGGCTTTTTTACATTGTTGTTGAGATTCCTGGCCTCTAGCCCCTTGTTTGTTCTTCATATATTACATATTCATGACAAAGCTGATTGTGTCCATTGTCAAAGAATATCCTTGGATCTATCCTTATCATCAGATAATGCCCCTAATCAGCAGCATAGGATAAAGTATTGTAAAGACATTCATAGCAAATCAGTTCTGAAACATATGGAGTCTTTCTTTCCTTTCATATTACCAGCAGTCTTTTGTCAACCTTAATGAGAGCTATCAAGCAGAAATGATCAGTGCTGCAAATATCAAGATCCTGTTTCTTCCTGGTGGCTTTTTAAAAGTTATTCTCCCAAATCAACTTAATGTCATAGGCAAATCGTACCAGCGCAAATCACGTATTGCATATGCTGGCCAGAGCTGACCTTAATCGAGTCAAGTTCTTCTCCTTCCCATACCGACTGACGACTCTGAGACAAAAATCCATCTCCGGTCCACTCAATTCCTCTATCCCTTCCAGTGAGGATTTCTTTTTCTTTGTGAAGAAATAATTGGTCAAAACCCATTGCCAATTGACTGTGTATAAGAAGCATGGATCCAGACCGCCTCAATATATTTACATTACCATTCATCCATCTTCTAAGTCAAGCTATATGAATACAAAGTGTGAGAACTATGTAACATAGCCAGCAGTCAGCAGTCAGCACGTACTGTCTCAACTCTGCCTTTGTACATTCACATTATCTCAGTTAGAAAATTAAAAAATACATTTTACACAGAGAAATAAGCATATTGGAAATATAAAGAAGCATCTCCTAGGTGAAGAAGTGCACAGAAAGTGATATAAAAGCTCTATACTGAAGAGCATACATGCATGCAGTATATTGCTGTGACTGAAAGTAATCAATCTGAGATGCCCTGGGCTCCTCGTTTCCACTTGTGTGCAATAAATGCACATATCTTTATAGTCCATTTCACACTCTGTTCATGTTTCTATATGACAGAATAAAATTTCCCTGTTCCAATCTGGAATATGGTAAGGCCTTGCGGGATGTTCTCCTGCCATTTGGCAATTTAATAGAAAAAGACAGGAAGGATTAGTGTCCACCAAATTCTGCAACAGCTGGCTAATCCCATGGGATGTCTCCACCTGATTTTAATGGGTGGTCTCTGCTCAGTGCTCCAAAAGGAAGGAGAAAACTCTCCTAAGATTCCTTGGTGATATACCCCTAAGGAAAAATTCCTCCCTACCCTAAATTTGGCCATCGATATAAGGGTAAGAAAAATGAAATGTTACAATGACCTGCATGATTCCATCGCTACTTCAACATAACTAAGACAAACAGAGATCAAATACAGCTGCTTCAGAGTAACAGCAAGTTGTCTTTGTCAGAAGGGAGACTGCTCTTCATCAGCAATGCTGACACTTGGCAACATTGACTTCAGAGCAGTCTTGAGGACCTTCATTCTTCTTCTAGACAAAGGTTGTATTTCTGGCTCAAGGACCCCGAGGTTTTCCCTCCAAAACTGGAGATTCACTGAGCTCAAATAAGCTTAGCCGTGTCTCCAAGGTCCTTCTTTGGAGTAAGTCTCCCTCCATGCCGATGTCCTTCCCCGGTCCTTGGCCTCTCACTTTTTAAAGGGGGTGAGTTTGTTGAAGGTATGCCAGAAGAGGGATGGCTTCCGCTTGGGTTCTGCCAGGGCAAAAACCTGCTGCTGCGGGATGCTGGTAGGCACAGTGATGTGGCGCTGATGAATAGGATGCAGGCTTTGGTGTGGAGGAGGCACAGGACACCCATTATAGCTTACACCTGCAAAAGGAACAGTTTAAGGAAGCGTATGAGTCAGATCATGAAATCTTCTGAGAAAATTTAAGCACAGGACCATGGGACAAATTCAATGGTCCATAAAGCCAGTATGAATTTTGCCATGATCTTGAATGGAAGCACTACTGAAGGTTACCTTTTCTGGTATTAGACTTTTAATTGCTGCATTGGTTTGGCTTAAGAGGAGAATAATAACAGTAAAAATAACATTACAGAATTACCAAAAATAAGCGGCAGTTTCACATAGCCTGGCTATATTGTTTGCACAAGTAAATTCTGGTATTTCAAAGGAATGACTTAACACTGTAGATACTTGTACTTCAGTCAACACTCAGAATAAGGCTGGGTAAAATATTGCCACCAAGAAAAATGTTATTTCTTCGATTTGGAAAATATTTTTCCAGGCTGATGTTCTCAGACTTTGACCTTTGTGCATTCTGAACAGAATCTCCTGATCACAATTTTCAGCCACTCCCCTGAAAATCTGGACAGGTTTTATAGGTATCTAGTGATTGATAAAGAGAAAATGCTTTAATAATATGAATCCCAGGGAGCAGAGGACTACCTAACGTCAACTCCTTCACTCCTAAATTCAGACTTAATCTGGTCCCACTTCAATTTATTCTCTCAACACACTAGAGATCTGGCTTTAAGACAGAAAAGGACAAAATCACAACACATTTTCTGAGAGAGAAAAGGAATAAAAAAGCTGTTTCCAGAGAAACACATTTCTAGTCCATCCTTCCTTCTAGTCTAGGACAGAAGGAAGCCATTTTGAGTGTATTATGATAAATACAGCAACACATGGCTTGCAAAAAGTACTTTAAGATATTTTAACAAAGCATAGAATTGCTAAATAAGAACAAGGTGTTTGAGTAAAAGCAAAGGAAGGAATCAGTAACCCCCATTTCTAATTTAATCTCTGCGCGGACTTCTTACATCCTTAAATAAACCATTTGCCTTACCTCTTGAGTTTCTTTTCTAATAAAGAGAACACTGACTTGCCTGTCTGAAGGAGACTGGGGAGCTGATTTAGTAAACAGTTTACAAAGGCATTGGAATTTGATATTAAAATACAGGTTAATGGAAATTATTTGAACTCCATGTAAACCATTAAGTTTTTTTAAAAGACTGAAGAACTCAACCATAGCCAGATTGTGTTATTTCCTAACATAAAGAACACTGGAACACAGTAAGAATGTAAAGCAATTCTGAACACTCACCTTTAATTTTTCCATGCCTTGACTTACGGGCATTCTGCATGGCTTGTTTCTTCTGGTTTTCTGAGATTTCCATTCCTATGTCAAAGTGTAAATTAGGACACTGGTATAAAAATACTGTATCTAATACTTGATTACATTAAATTAAACCAAATATATTTTAAACAATTTTTAGTAAATCTTAATAGTAACATACCTGAAGTTTTTAGAAGTATGTTTTACTTTGTCATATGAATTTAAAGACCGCTTTTCACTGGGATAACAATAGGAACATTAATTTGCCTGTAGATTACTGGGAAAAACTGCTTTCCAGTTCCTACTGGCAATCACTGGGGAACTAACCCTCAAAAAGTTCTTTTTATAGATAAGTCCAGATAACAAGAGCTTAAAAAAAAGTGTAAATTAACACTTCTGAAAGCTACAAGCCACCAAGTAATAGATCACAAATGCAGAATCTGTTTCTTTTTTCTCTCACTCTGAGCTAACTTGGGGTAACAAACTGAAGTCACTGGTATTGCTGTAGTACAAATTGGGGTATCTTTCCCTCCGCTTGGAGGAGACAGTATCACATAATCCATCAGACACTGAAGCAGGCTGTGATGTGGTTGTGGCTTCATCAGACTGGGGCTGGATCTCTCACTCCGGTGTCTCATGTACTTGTTTGCATACTTGTATGATGGACATGATGCTATAGTATGTGGTCAACCCTGTGCTATTTACTACCATGTGGCAGGTGTATGACTGACCTGTGCTGAGTACAGAGATACCAGACATCTACTATGAAAGGTGACACCAGTGACTGGTGTCGTCTGGAGCCTATGTACAGACACTCCAGTTTCCTCTCCCTGGGTGCAAGACAGATGAGATACATGGATATGTTATATTTGCACAAGGAGACAACAGGGTGCACATGCTGTCACTCATTTCACTCACATGCACATAAAGAGCACAGAAGTTGCGATTCAAAGTCAGAATGAAGCGTCTGGTTTGGTTCCATTTTGCATCTTGTGCACTTCTCTATACTTTTAAAATTCCCTTCACTTTTTTAGCCTGAACTTATGAAGAAGTCATTACAAATCAGCCTATTAACTTACAATACAACAGCAGTTTGCCATAATTTTGCGGTAGCAGAAGTTTATTTTATTCTGCAGGGTTTTTTTCCTTTATAGAAACAAGGAAACAGATTAAAAAAAATTGAAGCAATTTCATCAACAGAGATCGGACCACTTTCTTAGGGTTACTATTAGTGGTTTGGAGAAGGATTTTCTGGCTGTGGCCTTTTCTTCCCATATATTCATAAAAGCTAAGAAAAGCTAGATATGGTTTGGGAGACAGTGACTTGCACCAAAGTGTCTTTGAAAATAGAAGTAAAATGCCATTTGCAGTTCTGAATTGGAAGAGTATGTATTTGTTCTCTGAGTGGTTAGATTAGAGGCTTTGTGTGAACTCCAGCAAGATAGCTTACAAAATCAACAAGATAAATTTAAACCTGAGGTTGAGAATACTGGCGCCTTTCCACTGGTTTTGGCTAAAGGAAATGTTCCATTATGCCAAAAAAAGGAAATTTTAGAAAAGAAGCAGTCTTCTGGGTAATGGAGAAAACATCCAAGCCACTGTGACTCACAAGACCAGATGGACATTAGCTATTATAAGTCAACTATCTTTCCTGTGGTTCATGATACCTGTGCCAAAACAGGTACATCAGAATAATGAGCTGCGACATTTGAAAAGCAAGTTTCCAGAAGGCTGCATGTTACATGGACAGAAAAGACTGCATGTGCCTATGTGCCATTATCAAATACACAGTTTCCCGTTATACTGAATTTTCTACCAGTTATTGCACAGTGCCTGAAGAGCAGCAAGCGTGATGGACCCTCCCGTGCAATCCTTGCGCTCAGCACCAAAGGAATTTGTGACTCAGCGCTAAGTAAGGGTTAGTGGTATTACAGCAAATCTCATCGTTATCACTGCCACTGCCACCACTGTTGAATGGTTACCCTTTTGAATATCATACATTGATTTTCATGAGGTGCCAGTAGAATAAATAATGACATTTAGGGCTGTAGCTGCTATGCCTTTGCAGTTTCCTCATGCTTGGGGACTTCTGCAGCAGTGTCACTTAGAAAGAATGGGAACACCCCACTGCCTGCACAAGACAGACCTGCTGCTGCACGGGGCAAGCACTAGTGTGAGCCTCGGAAGCATCCTGACATACAGCATTTAGCCCACTCAACGTACTCTCCCGGTGCTCCATAAAGCAACCACTGTGGGAGGAGGGGTAGATACAGATATGAAGAGCTCAAAAATGCTCCTTAGAAAGGAAGGGAATAGAAAATGTTCACATTTTATCTTCTTTTGCTCAGTCCTGCTCACAATAGTGCAGGAGCTGTGATTTATTCCATATTGTCCTTCCATATGACTATACTACTGTTCTTGTCGTATGGTGGAGTGGAGGCTTTCTGTAACTTTGTTGTAAGAGGGATTGTTTGGACACTCATCATCAGATCCTCTGCATTGCTTTATTACCTTCTGATCACCTTCACCCTTCTGCAGTATCCACTTTATTTTAGAGTCCTGTTTAGGTGAATTAGGAAAGGCAGCCACCACCCGTCCCCATGAGGATAAGGTGACTGAACAAGCTCTACACAGAGCAACTTGTGAAAGCCATCAGTGTTGTGCCCAAGAGGATCATAAATGTCACACCATGATGTTCAGCACAGGCGAAGAGTTGGTTTTGAAAAGTTTGGAAAGTTTGAGGGAAGTTTAGCTGTAGCTGCTTCATTGTTTACTCTAGACTCCAGACGATTGGGGTTAATTGCATCACTTGTTGCAATGGAGAAGAGTTAAAACTGGTTTATGAGTATGAATTGGTAAACTTGAAAGTATTTTCTTCAGCTTACAGACTATCTACAGTACATACAGAGGAGGCCTTATTTAAATATTTACAACAGTACCAAACGAGAAAGGCACTAAGATCAAAAGATTTACATTTGTAATCTAAGTGTTATTCCTGTTTTCCTATTCTTCTGACCAGGTGTTTTACGTGAACATGGAATATGAGATTTGGCATCTTGTTTAAATTTTAATAATTTCTGAGTTATATCATCCACTTCACTGCACTTCCAATTTTAACTGGCTGTTATCCAAAGCCTAAGCCTGAAGAGTGTTATAAAAAGGAAAAGTTCTCATGCAGTCAACACACACGGATGTACTAGTATTTTCATTACTTCTTTAGGAATATTAAAAAGAGTTTTATTTTTCTTATTAGTGTTGCTGTCTTCTTCATGTATGTTTTGCCATTGAAATTTTGCTGGAGCTTTTGTCACTGATCTTAAAGGAAGCATGAAACTATGCAAAACCAAAAATCTAAATAACAATCCCAAATGTACATTCACACAGAAGACACTGTCCTTAGACTGTTCCACAGGCTGTGGGTCTAAAGCTGATGCTACGATTTGGTACCTTTTTCCCTTCTCATGCAAGGTTAGGCTTCATTTCTCTGCAAACTGCCCAGTGGTGCTATTATTGGCTCTGTAACTAATGATACCATGCAACTGCACAGGTCTCCTGGACACAGGAGGTGCCATTATATGACATGGACAGTATAGATCTACAATTATTGCTGCTTGGCTTTATAATAAAATGTCCTTTACGAACAGATGTTTTGGGCCAATGATTCATACAAAAGTGCTAGGATTTTGAATGGAATTATTATTATTATTATTATTATTATTATTATTATCTTTGTGAATTGCATCTTGTCATATCTCATATCTTATTCTGCTCCGTAATGCACCAGAATTACATGCATTATGCTGTGACATGGATGTCATAGCTAACTGCCCTGGACCTTTGGTCCACAATGACAGGGCAAACACACCTGAATAGGCTTCACTTACACGGCTAAAGGTCATGTTGGGTAAGAAAGAGACACCAGTCCCAGAAGGTAGAGTGCCCATCTGCACAAAGCATAAAGAAGCATAAAAGCAGGAACATTCCCCTTTGTTTTTAACACCTTTTAGAGAGGAAATCCTTCCACTCACCCATTTCCTTGTCTTCCTGAACTCTTCTCCTTTCACTTTCGCATGCCTCCATCCATCTCTTTTTATCTTCCTGTTTTTTTGCACAGAACAAATGAATCTCTTCTGTGGCTCTGTTTAGTATCTTAAAAGCATTTTTGACATTAATGTTAAAGTCTTTGTCTCTGCCATCTTCAGTGTCCACAATTTCCATCTCATCCATGTCAATACGATCCTTATAATACAAGATGTCCCTTCTCAGTAAGTCCTTCTTACAGAACACAAGCTGATGGTCAAAAAGGAAGAAAGTCCTCTGCTGGCTTTTGCCTTGCTTTGATATTTTGGTCAGTTCTCCTGAGTGGATCAGTTCTGAGCTTCTGGCTAACACATCTGGTCCCTAAGAAGATATATATATATATGTAGTAAGTAAATAATATTTTAAGATCTTACTGTGTGCCTAACCAGTCTCATTTTATAATCAAGTCTCAAGTTCATTCATATTTCTTGTATTTTTATTATTAGATTTGAAAATGTCACAGAATGTAGACACTCTCCTACAGAATGTGGTTCTGCTCTACTTTATTTCTACATAAATCAGGAGGAAACTCATTAAAGTCAGTGAAGCAGGTTCAAGTTCTGACAGAACTACCAAAAATCCCAAGGAGATTCTATAGGTCTAGCATTACAAAAAAATCCATTCTGTCAGCTCAATCCAGTGTCAGCTCAAAGACAAGTGTCCATGTTAATACATGCTGCTCTTCCAGATTTATAAACAAGGTAATCAGTAACAGAATCACTGCAATGAAGCAACTGGACTTTTAACTGAGCAATGACCAGCTGAATAGTAGACACCATAAACTACCTACTATGCAGAAAGACGTATCCTGTAAAGGACATGAAGTACTGTACAGAGTACCTTTGCTCAGGAAAGGGACAGGCTGACGCTTACCTCCCAGTCTACGATAGAGACTTGCCAACGTGCAATCTTGTCTATGCTTTCTAGTCTTCGTTTTCGCTCATTGATCAGGCACGCTACATTCTTCATAGCCTCATATGCAGCTTTTATGTTGTTATAATCACTGTGAAATGTAGGCACGTTTCAAAGATCACTTATGCAATGGATATGATGCAATCACAAATTGTAACACAGTGCTTGAAGTATTAGCCCACATTATGCATCTATCCCTCTACTTAGGGTACTTAAGTAAAAGAAACCTGATTCTCAGCTATCCTGAACGTCACACAGTAGTCTGTACAATTCAGTGCTGCTGTACTGCTAGGCTTTGTCCAGGAGCAAATTACTAAACTGGTGGAAGGAGGTGGATGTAGATTAACAAATTGCAGCACTGTCTGTATTGAAAACAATGGTAGAACTCCTGTTGACCTCAGTGATACCTACATTGCAGCAAAGGTATTTGTTTTTAAGCAAGATTTTAGTGGGATTTTATTGGGAAGGGCATTCCTTTAATCATGATTAACAACTGTATTTTGTCCTTCTTGTTCCCAGTGGCTGGGTCAATGAATGCAAATGGAGAATGCTATGTGGGCAGAAAAAATACTGAAAACAACCTCAAACAAGGTGAGCAAGGGACCCAAGAACATGGGAACCAAAGAGGGGAATAAAAGGACACAATGCTGACAAAATGGCTGACAAATGGAGTCTCTGAGAAGAGAGAAGGAGACCCATGTTTCTTGCCTTAGAGTCCCAGCAGAGCAGCTGCCTTCCCTCCTTTATCAGAACACCTCTTGCAGAAAAGGGGGCCAGAGGTAGAAAACAGCATGAGCCAGAAATAACTCCTGCAAAGGGGTCAGCCTCGCTGTCCTTTTTATCTGCTTCTGCCTCAGTTCCTATTTTCATCGGCTGCTGCTGATGGATGCGCTTCCCTTCTAAATCTGCGAGTTACTCTCCTCTATTTATATCTATGGAAACTCTTTTCTGCCACACTGTATACAAAAAGTGAGATTAACAATAACAGGATCCTACTAATGTCAGGCAGATGTCCCACAGGGTGACCGCATGATATACACACTGCTACTCTTGCCCTTCCTTATCTCAGTTCCTTCTTTCTGTGTTGGTGTGTACGTTATTCCACACTTGCTGCATAACCTGTGGCCTTCGCGGCAGGCTGTGCACATTGGATCTTCAAACTTTTTATGAAAACAAAACAAAAAGCTACCAAAAAAAACAGGTGGCTTGAGCTTTACCAAGGCTCCGTGTGGGTGTAGGTCTGCCTGTTTATGAGCATCTCTGTGCACTGGGCGCCTGTCCGTGCTTGTAGGCATCTCTGGATGCCGTGCCACAGAAAAGAAAGACAGGTAGTATGGGTGGAAGGCGGCAAGACCTTGCTGTCACTTCATCTGCTGGTTTAATAGCTCACAGAATAATCTTTCTAAAATTAGTAGCAGCGAAAGAGATACCCACGGTAGTAATTGTTACTGCGGCACTTCCCAGGTAGCCACAGAACTGAACAGAGGCATTTCACACCTGAATGACAGTACTTGACATCCCCTACGTTTCGCCCCTGGCAAAAATCCCGTGGTCTCCAAGGGGAGTTTTCTCAAGGTTAAAGAAGTGCAGACTTTGGCCGAGGAAGCATTGCCTCAGGCTGTATTTGGACTTTGAGGACAGGGGTCACAATGGAACATTTTTCTTGCAGTTGTACAAGGTAAAAAGGAAGACATTTAGAGATAAAATCTTAATTTAGTCAGAGATTTAATCATCTCAAGTGTATACTAGAAAGGCTAATAACCTGCAACTTCAATTCTTATTTATCCCAGCTGAAAATCTAATATCTGGACTTTATTGCAAACAAAGGCAATGTTTATTACTAGGTAAGTTTCTAAAAAACATTACCTCCAAGCTTGCTCCGATTGTGGTTTTTTTTCTAAGGCCCTCTTTACCTTTCTTGTGTTCACAACATTTATGCAGCTTCCCCCTTTTTTCTGTGGATTTCCTTCTCCGTCAAAGAAATGACACATCAGCTTTTTTTCACTGATTTACACATCCCTCCCTGCATCCTATTTCAGCACTTTCTTCCTTTTCTTCTCCCTCTTTCACTTATTCCTCATTCTGTCTTGCACCCTGTCAGTCCCCTGTGCTCCATTTTCACCTACTGTTTTTGTATCTAGTAAGGAGCTCTTGTCTATAGTGGTCAATGGGAGTTTTGTTCCTGATCTCAAAAGCTGTAGTATTGTGTCACCCAGAAAGCTTGAGTAATTAGGTGTTACTACTATTATAAGATTTGTTTTTTTCATTCTCTTACCTGTGCTCCTGAGTGGTGTATTTGAGCAATTCTGCAAGCTGCAGAGGGTATTTGCAGATTTTCTGAACGGGCGTGAGAAGAAAACCATCAATGGCAATGTCAATCATCTGCTGGAGCAAGCGGCAGGCCTCAAAGAAGTGACGGTATTTGCCCTGTTTCATTAGTTTGGAAAGTTCAATGCAGGCACTGGGATGATTGTTACAATACTCTGAATAAATAGCAAAGCCTTCTTGCTATTAAAAAAAAAAAAAAGTCAAAGCTTAAAGTAGTTATCTATAAAGGAGGAAAGATATTTCTGTAACATCTATTATAACTAATTAGATTAATTAATCCATTTCCTATATTGTTTCCAGGCTGATCAGCCTTGAAACTATGCAGAAATCTACTTTGTAACTGTCAACACTATGTACTTTCTTTGTAAGAACCCAGAAATAGAGGCCTCCATTGAGTCAGGATAATCAAATCCACTTTAAGAAGTAATTTTCTTTGGGGAAGACAGCTATAGGCTTAGCAAGTGTCTATCATGAACTCACAGCCTCTTTCCCCACCACCTTCCTTCCTTATTTTCTTTAGGAAGTTTTTGCATGCCCAATATGAGATCACTGCAAATAGTCCAGCTCATCTGTGATCACTAAAGTTTTGAAAAGGAAACTTAAAATTGTGCACAAAGTTACATGCTTGCTAAAGATGAGGAGAAATCAAAAGCATTTAAATAATTCTTTAATTAAGCCCTTGTTGCTAAAATCCCCTCCTAACATTGTAACTTAGCATTTTCTTGTCCTACTTTGTTAATTTCATAAATAAACCAAACTTTTGCAACCTACATGTTGAAGAAAACATGACCCTATTTCACTTAGATGAGGTTCCTCTTTGTTGTACTGTTTCTCCAGATCCTTCAGAAACTTCCTTTGGAATTTGTAAATATCTTCAATATTTCCAAAAATGGTGCTTAACTGAGCTGTGGTGAACATTCCTGTATGTTTGCGACACTGCCGAATATAACCCTGGAAATTAAATGAATAACCTCTTTAGTTTGAACATGTGAAAACAGGCTCTACCCTGAACAAGCCCATTTGAGCTGTGATCTATGGGCAGGTGAGTCGTTTCCCAGCTGTGGACACACGGACACACACACACGGACATGCAATTCCAGATTTGCCTCTGAAATGTTTACACGTTGATTCTTGCAGTCCAACTGCTGTCTCACACTACCATAAATGAATCAGGGAACCAGAAACCTGCAGAATTTGTGAAGCCCATTCACATCTCCTCGTTATGATTACCCGCCAAGCTGGAGGCGAGCCTGGTGTAAGACCCCATGCACGCTACTACTTTAGCTGCTGCACTTTTTCAGAGCCATTTCTCTTTGCCATAAGAGTTCTTCTCTATGCAGGTAAGAACAAACCCTAAAACAATTAATATAAAGAATTTCTACCAGGGCTGAAGTACTGGTTCCTTAACCAGTACGTAAATAGGGCACAGTCTAAGCCAGAGAAGCAAAATGAAGAACATATTATAACACATTCAGAATGCTGCTGTTTGGTAAAAATCCATATGGTATTGGCAGGAGGTAATAGTATTGGCAAGACTGCGCATAAAACTTTTCCAGTTTTTTTTCTCTTTACTTGTAGGAACATCACAGGGGTCCAGCTCACTTTATTCGTACCCAGTGTTAAGTAGATACACAACTGAGTCCTCCAGTTTTAAAACGATGGGGGGCCTCTTAGGGCTGAAAAATACACAGCCAGCACATCTTCAGGTACCTCTTCCACAAAGCTGAGCGTGGCGAGGAGGATACAGTGCAGGGGCTAAATACCCAGGAATAGCTGCTGTGCTCATACTCTCGTATCAGTAATGGCACCGGGGTATGGATCAGTGCGAAGGTTAACTGGTATGATACGGGTTATCTGCCAGGCTCTTCCATTTGGCTGCTTTCAGGCAGGTTTCCCCCAAATTGCTTTGGGAGCAGACAGCTGTAAAAAGCCTTGCAATTGCTCTGGTGAGGTTTACCAGGAAGCAACTCTGAATATTTCTGGCACTGTTATGAATATTCCTGTCTCCTCCACAGCCATCTGCTCTGAGAGCTGTGCAGTGGCTACACTGCAAGTCAGCTACCACATTAACTACTATTAGGAGGATAACTCTGAAAAGGAAAACTAATTCCTGTTCAGCTCTTATAATGTGGACTGCAGACACTTCTTGAATGTATAAAGTTTTTCTGGGTATACTCCAGCTTCATGATCCTGACTGCACCAGCCCTAGTGATTCATTCTAGTGCACAGCTTGCAAATTTGGATTACTATCCACAGTAGCTTTTCCGGCTTAGTCTCACTTGAGTGTATTTTCAGCCTTATGTCCGGCTTGCACCACCCTACAGATTCACTCACTTCTCTGCTTGGAAAATGTGTGTTAGCGCTCTTGTAGCAAACTCGGAGGCATGTCAAGATTTAAAAAAAAGAGGTATAGAATATATGAATTAGAGAAAATTAATTATTAGTATCAGTCTAAGAATTAATAAGTCAGTAAAATATGAAAGTCATGTCCTAGAACTCAGCTAACCACGGCAACGACATAGCTGCATGTACAAATTCCTCCCTGATCTTTTACGCACACAGTCAGGCTTACTAGCTTAAGTAAATAGTGAATCTAAATGACAAAACTTACATTTAATGTTTTAAAATTAGCCAATTAGCAACCAATTTTTGTCTTCTTGTTTTCCCTTCTCTCTTTCTTCAAAATGCATAAAAAAGGTCTGATCTAAAAAAAAACCCAACCACTGCTGTCTTGTCTACTTTGTTGTTCATGAAAGAATTTAATGATGAGTGGTGGACTAAAGGATGACAACATGAAAAATACAGACAGAAACCTAGCAAACTAAGGGTACAAAGAATATTTTGGTAGGTTGCTTAGCACCCTTCCAGATGCTAACCACAAATACAGGTCAAATGCATCACAGTCCATGTCAAAAGAGGCAAACTTCAGTGAAAAGTACCAAGAAGCTTCTTGCCCAAGTGTGGGCCTCCAACAAAACTTGAACAAAAAGCAGAACCCCCCCACACGTTTTATGGTTCAAACAAGCAAGGTAGTTCTAAAACACCTTTAAAGACTTCTTCATAGCTTCTAAGCATCCAGAAAAAATCTCTTTGTTGGAGAAAACAAAAAAAAAATCTCACCCAGCAAACATTCTCTTTGCAAGTTACTTTCAAAAAATTTTGTCCCTGAACTATAGTTGGTTTTATTAAAGTTACTGAAAGTTTTCTATCTAAACCAAGTGGTAAAAAGTTCTAAATAAACTGAACTTCCTTATCTCATTATTATGGAAATAGCAGTCAGATAAGCAAAGCACTTTTTCCATGTTAAAAGTGGAATGTTTTTTTTTAAAAAAAAGGAAGTAATGCCTTGTGGCAGTCAGCAGAGAGGAAAGCTGTAAGAGGACACAAGAAGGGTCTGACTGACAGTCTCAGAAGTGGGATTGGGAATATTTTGATATGAGAAACCACTCCGGTTCTGGACTTATATGGGATGTTTTGTTCACATTAGGTCAGCAGAATGCCCTCAGGTTAAAGCATGTACCTCACAGATGTCCTTGAGATGCTTGATATAGACTCGTTCTGTGTTCATAATTTCCTGTATAACGTTGGTTCTCATCTGATCCTTGTTTTCAGCTATTTTCTGACGATGCTTGCTAATATCTGCATCTTGTTCTTCATCCTGGATACTACTACAATTTTCTGGCACTTCTTCCTGATTAACTCGCAGCTGCAGCCAGAACAAACAAAGCAAACTAGAGTAAAGCAGCAAACTTTTACAAAATGTGATATAACTGTTACAAACTTCTTACAATTAAGAGAGGCCTTGCTACAGAAATGTTCCCATTCTTACCTTAGAGGGAGAGTTCCACAACAGGATTTATCTCATTGTACCCAATGCATATTCAAATACAGTGTTGAGATTTCTGTCTGGTTAAATACATGGCTTTCTACTCACAATATCTGAGAGATACCATGTTGTGTTGCCTGTGTATTTTTCAGACTTAAGCTTATTTCTGACCCTTACTAATAGTTTATGTGTTATTTTGGCCAAGCCAGCACATGGGTAAGAATTACAAAAGTAGACAACTCAAATACTTTTAAATAGTTTCCCTCTGCCCCAGTTCCCCATCTGTACAACGTGGATAACAGCACCTCCTTTTTTGACTTTTGTCTGATTGCCCATGTTGGCTGGAGATCTGGGAAGGGCAAAGGCAGGAACCATCTCTTGCACTTTGTGTAGTACTTCATACAGTGTGGCCCAAGCTTCACTACAGGATCTCAAAAAGTACTTTAAATTCATTTCTAAAACACAGGTCAGTTTTATACCATTCAAGAGTTATACTGTCATAATCTGGCTGAGTTCCCACTGGGGAGTTCAGACTGTGAACGAGATTCCTACATGATGTTGTGATAATAAATTAAGCTCTGTTTTACCAAGAAATCCCTGCAGCATAGCTTTCCCTGCTCCCTCGTGAAAACTGCTATGTCCTCTCCATATACACTGACTGCTCCCGGCTGAGCTTTCTGCTGCCCTCATTTCTGCTCGAGAAATTCCTTTTGTCACGAAAGGAAGAAGCCACTGTAGAAGGTGTCAGAAGAGCTAAGGGATCTTGGGGTGCGATTCTCTATTGCTTTTTTCCTTGTGAAGTCATTGGGGGTTGCACCACTGAGGTTCAGATACAAAGATGCTGAGGACCAGGCCCTTGACTTAAATGTAACGCCACGACTATTGCTGTTGCGCTCTGCCAGGAATCTCATGTGACAATGGTGCAAAAGCAAGAGAGTTACTCACCCTGACAAAGCTAGCTGGAAACCAGGCTTCCTTGTCCTCGTTTCTTCCCCACCACCAGTCTTTGTTGGAAGCTTCTAGAACTCTAATGACATCTCCAGCTTTGAAGCCCAGCTCTTGATCATCCATAGTCACATGGTCCCAGAGAGCTTCTGCATAGACAATGCTGCCATCGCTGATCAGCTGAGGTGGGGAGAAAATGAGGTTGTGAGGGACAAAAGATAAACAATGAACTGTTTATAAATTACTGACAGATCAAAATACCTCGCTAGAGCACCCACGATTATTCCTAATACAGGATAGAACTAAAATTCTGGATTTTCAGAAATCTATGTCTGTATTTATTAGTGAGAACAATTAGAGTCCTACAATTAGAGCAGTTACACAGGCTAACGAGTTACAGTCCCGGGGAAGCACTAGTCACCGTGCTCTTCCCCTGGCGTCTGCCTGTGGGCCCTGCCACAGACAGGACACCACGGCTGCCGGATTCTTCACTCTGGTGGCTACTGCCGTGGCACCTCTCGTTAACACGAAACCTCAGACCTGTGGAAAACACACCCGCCACCATTACAGCAACGCAAAGCCCAGGACGTTACCTCGTTAATTGCTAGCTGTTCCCCTCCGGGCTGCAGGTACCTGGGAGTGGCTTGGCAGAGCTCCTCGTAACTGTAGTCTTCCTCACTGCCATTGTCGTCCACTAAGGCCGAAGGTTCAGCCCCACCATCTGCCGCAACTAAAACAAAGGTGCAACAGCTGTTTGCTTCATCATTTTTTCTGATTTCCAGAATAAAACAATGCAAGATGAATCTCTGAGAAGTTGCCTTTGTTGTCACGGATATAACAGTAACAGCAGAAGCGGAGGGCAGCAGAGCTCTCAGGAAAACCACTTTCCTGCCATTAAATACTTTTTACTCTTCTTCAGAATTTTCTCATTTAGCAGCTGATGAAATTCTCCTTTTTGCGAGCGAAAACCAGAACTATAACCATTATTTACTTATTTTTTTTTACCCAGAGGACATCTCAAACGACCTGAATCAGGAGGGAGGTCTCAATGCCATGTTCCCCACACAGGAGATGAGGGAGGTCCAATGGCCCCCCCAGCAGTGAGAGGGGGGCCGCTGTCAGTCCCAGCCTGGGTGCCATCCCGTCATGACATCCCCCCGCAGGGATGTGACACCCCAACAGCTCCCTGCCCACCCACCCGTGAGAGGGGGGGGCAGCCCACGCCGCAGCCCCTGCTCCGAGCCCGAAAAAATCCTTGGTTTGGCAACTGTACATTTTCTGACCAAAGAGGCAGCTTTGTAAAGAAATGGAGGCCAGACCGAAGATGGGCTTCATCTTATTACACAGCCACATAAACCAAGAGAAACATCATGTAAGTGACTGTCACTATGCACATGTAAATCTGTGTAAAACCCACTTGGGGTACATCACTGGGTGGCAGATCCTTTCGGCGATCATCTCCACACTGGCAGGTGAAGAGGACCGGGGACCAAGTTCTACTGAGAGACTCACGTCCACACTGCTCAGTGCTAGACCCTTTCAGAGCAGGTTTGCCTTTGAAAGCCAGCCGTAATGTTCAAACAGATCAGGGGATGAGCTAGTAATCAAGAAGATTTCACAACCAGTGGCCCAGTTCTCTGGTCCTTGTTAATTTATCCCTGAAGATTTATTCCTATGGCATGCCCAAGCTGTGAAAAACTAGAGAGTCTAAGAATCACACAGTGCTCAAAAATCCAAGAGAAAATAAAAAATTAAAAAAATTCAGAATGGGCTGCCGGCACTGAACTCCTTTTCTAACGGTTACTGCGTCCCAGATAAGTTGCCGTGCAGCCTACAGAGCATCTCTCTCACTCCGCAGTGCCTGGGAACAGACTTTTAAGCAGAGTTATTGAACCTGCCACTTCCACCTAGCAGCAAGGCTGAGCAGCCGGGCTCTGATCCTGCCTCCAGCCTGGGTACCGCCTGCCTGCCGAGCTCTGGGCTCCGCATGGGCGAGAGTCGCTTTACTCCACACACCTACACAGCTACACACGCCGCTGCCTATCTGTGATGTACCTTCTAGGGAGAAACACATCAAGCCCCTCCTTACGGGCGCTCACACCATCGCTAGCATCTTTGGTCATTTGGGTATTAATTTGCAGGAGAGATCAAAGCTGGCTACTGCACAGATTCACTGAAGAACTTGGAAGATTTTTCTTTCCTTTAGAAGTGGAAAAATATGGCATAGTCTCGGTGTAACACAACATGGCTATTCAACTGTTCTCTGCTACTCCCCAGCATTTTAAATATATGCTCACATTAATGATATAATCTGCCTAACCAGGGAGGATGCAGAATCTGTATTTAAAAAAACAAGATTTTTTTCCCCTACAGGCTCACAAACCTGCGCACTGATAAACTTTTAAAATACATCTTGTGAAACTTACTGAAACTGCTTCATTTAAAAAAATCTGCAAATAAATAATTCATTAAATCAATTTTTAGGTTATAAAGCAACACCAAAAAAAAAAATTAATCTCAGTGATCCTTTATACATCCCCACTGTACTATCAGTACTGCCTGTTGGTTTGTTCCAGTAACAACGGCACATCAAAATAACCTAATTCATTTGGCTCCAGATGAAAAATGACTGCAATTTGGGGACCGATAACTCTTCATTATTCTGCACCAAATCAACAAGCTTACATTGTCTCCATAGTTAGACTCAAGCGAAAATCAAGTCGCTTGCACTCTGCATCTATTCCTCTATTGTTTACAGACAGAAATATCAGAGGTGGGGTGGGCTTTTCTGATCGCACCAACGGGATGCAAAAACTTAAAAGACAGCCCGGGACCGATTCTGATCTCCCAGCAGCTTTGTCACCAGTGTAAGGCTGCAGGCTCCCGTGGATGACACGGTGCAAGTGTGATCAGAATCAGGCCCCCCGACTGCCACAGTTTATCAGTTCAATCTAAAAACACCGTAAAAAATAGCAAGAGAGAGAGCATGTTCTACTCACACGTACCCATCTGAAGGCTCTCCAGACTCCAAAATCGTGCCATTCCCCCCCTGGCTACCATGCTGCCGTCAGACTTGCTCCCCGGGGAAGGGGTTTGACCCCTAACAGGTGATGCTCGGTCCTAAAGGGCTGGCGGAGGACCACGAAGGGCTCCGAGCGACCCGCGGCGCCGAGAAAACAGCCTCTTCGCCGCCTTCGGCTCCCGGCTGCGCCTCCGAGGCCGGGGCCGGCTGGGAGCTGCCAGCGGCGCGCGCCACGGCGAGCTCCCGGCTCGCTGACATCATGGGGTGCCCTTAGGGAGGAAGTTCCAGAAAAGAAACAAAAAACCTGGCTGCCTGGCCCCGGCCACGCTGTGCCGACAGCCGCCTCCGCCGCCCAGACCGCTCCCCAAGTGCCCGAACGTCTCAAAACGCAGCAAGCCAAGGAGTACATTTGTTTTTCATTAAAGCAGCTTAATGCGATTTCAGTCTATATTCAAATGACTGCAATTCAAAGGGAAAGACTGTTTGGATGGGAGCTGGCAGTTCTTTGTGTTACAACACTGTTCGGGGTATCGGTCTATCTTTGTTACGCTAGACCGGTTAAAATTCCAGTAGAAGTAAACAATGAAGGTATTTTTTGGACGGCTATTAAAACTTCTCTTGCTTCACAGGCAAATGCTGTATCATTATTGAGGGCACAAGCAGCCAAAGCGTTAAGGCTGCAGCAGACTGCTCCCGGGGAAAGTGGGGAGGACGGAGACATTTTCTCACTCAAACTACAAACTTAATTCAGCTGCTCCAGAAAATAGGGAGTGAAGCAGGAAAGCACCCAAAGAGCCCAGCTTTCACTGGGACTGACCCAGCCAGAGCACAACCTCATTCATTCACCACGGGCCAGCATTTACCACCCTTAACATCTGCGTCGTTCTGCAGTGAAGCTGGATCGGTTCATGCACGGGAAGCAAAGGCAGGAGCTGCTCCCACCGGCAGAGCGCAAAGCCTGCCGCAGCCTGCGCTTGTACACAGCATTATATTCATGGTTTGGAAAGCTCCGTAATCGTTATGGCTCATTCTTTACCTGCTGACTGCGTTGCTCAGCTGAGCCTGTCCTGTAACTGGGGACCGTCTCCTCCAGGGACGTGTTCACAAAACCCTGGAGGCATTTCTGCGCGCAGCAGCGTCTCAACACCCACTGAAATCACATGGTTTCCCCTAGCACTGCCTCAGACAGAGAAGGAAAGGCCAAACATCGCCCTGCAATGTTAATGCCATCTTCCTACAAAAACCCAGACTGCGCTGCACTGCACAGGAGACCGATAGGAATTCCCTTCTGAATCCCCAAACTTCCCTATTATTTCTTGGTGCAAGCACACATTGGATAGTACAGTAAAAACAAGCTACTACGTGTTATATAAGATGTTTATACAGAGCCCCACACATTTTTCTTGGCACAAATCATTAAAAAAAAACAACCCAGCAAACAGAAGTGACACTGAAGTGCTGACGACCCTGGGACCTGCAAGCGAAAGGTTTCACGCTTTTTTATCAGCCGGCTCACAAGCTCTCTGCCATGTCCAACCCCTACCTGCAGGGGAAAAACAGCCGAACTGCCAAAGGAGAACAAGATCAAACCCCACACAGCTCTTCTAGAAGACACATTAAAAACAATCTCTGAAAAACAGTCACGGCTTGATTTTTGCAGAACAGAACGGACTGTGTGCTTTTTGCCCAACGTCTAACCCAGCGCCACTGTGGGATACTGCAGGTGGTGGGGGGAACTGTTCTCCCTCCTCTGCACCGGCACGTCTAGCAACTGTGCGGCCACAAACTGAACCCCCACAAAAGTTCTCGTTTGGGGTGAGCTGGTGGGGGGTTGGTTTCCTCGCAGGATCAGCCGGGGACAGGAGGCGCAGGCTGTCCTTTGTAGCGTCAGTCCGCAGGGACCCTCTCCAAACGCACGCCGAGCTGGCTTACCCACTGCGCAGGGCACTCTGGAAAGGCTGTGGGTAGCACAGACTAAAATACTAAAAATAAAAGCTAGTTTACCCGCCTCAAGAAAATCCAGTTCTAGATAACCCTCTGGAATCATAGGACCCTACACCCTGGGGCAGACTAAAGGTGCCCCCACCCGCCCCGCTCTGACAGCAGCCAGTAGCAGATGCCCAGGGAAGAACATAAAAATAGACGAGGCATGTAATGGCATTTTCTGATGTACTTTCCTAAATTCCAGCTACCTGCAGATTAGAGTCAGATCCTTCCTGAGGCAGAAGTGGTATCTTTGTGTTTAATGAACTGAATTTTTCAAACCACTTTCTGGATTTCTGTAGACTTTTGGATGTGAAATATCATGTGTAGCAAGAGTGTGAAAACTATCTTTTATTTTGAACTTGCTATCTGATGATTTCATTTGGTGCCCTTTAGTTCTCACAGTATTGTAAACAATAACTATTATCTGTTCTTTTCTCCTCTGCCAATCAGTCTTTTATTCCCCTATTGTCCTTTTTTCCAAGTTGCAGAGCCCTAGCCGCATTAATCATTCCTCACACAGAGACACTGAGTAGGTTTTCTTGTCCTTTTGCCTTTCTCTGTATCGTCCCCTGTAAAAAATGCCTTTTGAAGTGGAAAGGAACAAGGAGATGGCCCCCACACACCACACCAGTGGCACAATTGGGCCTTCTGTTTTGTTCTCTATTCCCTTCCTACAAATTCCTGCCCTTTTATTTACTGTTTTGACTGTTACTATGCACTGA